TTAGTTGGGGTATGGGTGTTCTTTTGTTTTACTTCTCATTTTGGCATCGAGTCTGTTATATTTTTTTTTTTTCTTCACCATATTAGGTCATTCGTCATTGTTGTTTTATTATTGGCAATTGCTTCGGAGTTGGTATTTGTTTTGAGTTATCGAGTGAATATAGTATTTTTATTATCAATCTATCCTTTTTGCTTTGTTTTATTAAATTTATGAAAACAGTTGTTGTTTCATGTTCTTTTTACTTCGAGAATTATTCTTTTAGGTGCTTAAAATTTACTGTTTAACTGCAAAATAATAATAGTAATTATAATTTACTGTTCAGCCAAATGAGACGCTGACTTAACGTGTTGTGTCCAGAGATCCATGGGCCCACACGATTCGAGATGCAGGCCCATAGCATGCGGCTGGCCCACTGTTTAGTGGGTTGCTATTCAGCCATCGGCTCTTTTTAACCCTCTGGCTCTACTTCGAAATCTTATCTTATACTAGGTGTTGAAAATATTTATTATTATTATTAATATATATTTTTTTTTTTTATGTTTAAAATATATTTATATTAACCAGGGCGGAGACCGAAATATACTGAGAGGGCGGATATTTCTGAGAGATAGGGAAATTGAAACTTGAAAATCCTTTATTATTGGCTACACGACATCCACTCATTTGGACGTTTTTATATATTACACAATCATTTTCTAGAAAAGATTATTAAAAAATATATATATATTAATTTCTAATAGTTCATTGAATCCTTCTGGATGCCAAGTTTTAATAATTATTAAACAGGATTCAATAATAATTTAAATATATAATTAATAAATATATGTCAATTATCAAATAATTAAGGTGAAAAACTACCACATCATTTAAAAAAGAAAACTATACATCTCTCAATATTTAAAAAATGTTTACATAATTAATAATAATTTTTTGACAAATTATACAATTAATAACATTATATTTGCTTAATTCTAAACTTTATAAACTTTTTTGCAAAATCGAATTTTCGTACAAAGAAAAAAAAAAAAAAAAGTTCTATGATCTTATGACGTCCCTACCAAACTCCGTCCATAAATTTAAAAATTAATTATTATTTCCTTTAATTCGGCCAACCCAAAAAAGTGTTTTTATGGAGAGAAATTTGGTATTACAAGATATCCATTAAAATTTAAAAGTGAATGAATGAGAGTGTTTGACTTTGCCATCTAAGAACTAAACAATTGGTAAAGGAAAGGGGAAGCGGCCATGGGGCTTTGGCTTTGGGCATAATAGTGAATCACTTTTAATGGTAATAAAATTAGTGGACCATTTATTTCTTATTGATGTGTTTGTGTTGCCAATCTATTTCTATGTTAATTAATTATTTTTTTTTTTAGATTTGGGAGGCACAATTAATTTAATTGTCATCTAATTTTAGTCCCAAAAAAATTCTAAATAAAATATGTATATTAAAGTAAAAAAATTGATAGTCTATTACATCCTTTTGTATTTAATAAATTAGTTATTTTTTTGAAAAAGAAATGATAAGTATGTGTTTGAGATTTAATAAAAATAAAAATAAAAATAAAAATAAAAATAAAAATAAAAATAAAAAATTTGGAGACTTATTTAACCAATAATTCAATATGTTTTCAACAAATACAACTACCTTTGTATTGCTTAGGCAAGAACCAATAAAGATGTGATTGTGATAGTGATAAAGCCCATATTTTAGCAAAGTTTGAATGAATGAGTACCTTTTTCTTCTTCAATAAAAAACGCATATCATTTTCACTCCCCAACTCGTACTCTCTCTCGCTTCCACTGAGATCTCACATCGATTAGAGAGAGGAATGAGTGTCAGTGAAGACACTGGCCTCGAAGGGAGTGGATTGTGAGATCTCATATCATTGAGAGAGAAACGGGTGCCAGCGAGAACGCTGGATTTTGAAGAGTTTGGATTGTGAGATCTCGCATTGGTTGGAGAGGGAACGAAACATTCTTTACAAGAGTGTGAAAACATGTTTCTAGTGACTGCTTTTTAAAAACGTTGAGGGAGAAACAGGAAAGTAAAAGCCTAAATCCACTCAATTTCTCTCTCTCTCTCATATGCACAATTCCACTCAACTTCTCTTTCTCTCTCAACCTTATCTGAAGAATAAAATTAAAACCATACAACTTTAAAAGCATCCTTAATCCTATGGTCTTGTTAGAAGGATATGAAATGTGTGACATGTTTTGTTTTGTCGTGTTTAAGGGCTTCAACAACACCAAAGCTCCAAGACAAAGTGGCTGGTTGGATTATTGGCACTAAATTCCCTTATTTTATGGGGGTTACTATATACAAAAATGAAGCATTTTCCACCAATATTGCTCCAAAACAGAACCCATCTTCCACCAAAACTTCCAATTTCAAAGCTTTCCCCTCATTTTTGCTTTCCAACATTACATGTGCTAATCATTACCCACCTTCTTTTCCACGTTCAAACTTCGGTTTACAAGATCGATCGCATGAACGTGCTTAAATAAGAGAGATGAACGAAGAGTAGTGGAAGAGGGACCTGCCCGAATAGGGTGAGGAATGGAGAAGGTGTTGAAGATTATTAGGAGGGAGCTCTCATATTGGCTAATTTAGCGGAAGATCATGGGTTTATAACTGAGAAATACTATATTTATTGGTTCGAGACATTTTGATAAAAACCCAAAAAAAGCTCCGGGAGCTTTAACATAGAAAATTTCGTGGAGATAAGTGAAACTTCTTTTCAAACAAATAAACACGCCTGACAACTGACAAATTCAATAGTGGACGGTAGAAATTTTTGTTGTTTGGATAGTGTGGTTGAATGGCGATCGAAAACTACTTTTTATTTCAATAAGAAGTTTCTAAATATTCCTCCACTCAATGACGAGACGAGGGTCGACCGACTTTGATTTTCGAGAAAATTCGGATAAATAGATGTTCGGAATGTTCCAATGAGATGATCGACACATGAGTCAGTTTCAAAAGGATGTGTTTGAGCAAGTCAAGATGGGTGACGGGTCTCAAGACATAGGATAAGGTCACGATGCATGAATCATGTTGTTGGGAATCGAGATGACAATGAAATGCGACGTTATTGTGTCGCAAACGATTGAACATGCACGTGCAGGCAACATGTCTAGTCGAACAAGCCTGGACTCCGTTCAAGCAATGTTCGGTTGGCGAAAACAAATCTCGTCTAAGGCCCGAAGAAGTCACAAGTTAGGAAAAAAGTATATACGAGGCTTGAGTTCCCCTTAAGGCTAGTTGTGAACGTGTCGAAATCCCGACACACGACTAGGAGAGAGAAAGATAGAGAGAGAGAAGGGAGATAAGATGTGCATGTGGTTTGTATAGAGAACACATAAGAAAAGGTGGGTGTTTGGTTGAGGTTGTACCAAATTCCACAAAAACAAGAGAAGAAGAATAGGAAGAAGGGAATGAATGTATTGAAATTAGAGGCATACAGTGAAATCGCGGTGCGGGAGACAAGGTCGTGGTCGAGGCGTACGAGGGGGAGGGGGAGGGGGAGGGGGAGGGGGAGGGGGCATCCAAACCTCACAGCCTTTGCCTTTGCCTTTGCCCCTCGCATTTCAATTGCCAATGCCATCGCCCAACCACCTCTCAATCGCTTTCCTTTTAGGCCGTTGTCGTTTTGATTTAACCCTTCCACTTTCCTCCTCCTTTCACATTTTATTATGATGCATTCCCCAAAATTATTGTATCTTTTATAATCCTTTCACAGTTTTGATGATATTTTGAAAGCGTTTATAAATAAAAACACTTTTTATATTAATTTTTCTTAAATTAAAAAGGAGTATTTAAAATGGAGCTTTATTATTGGAATATCTTTTTTTAGAAAAAAAATAAAAAAAATAAAAAAATAAAAAGTAGGATGCAGGTAATTGGCGAAATGGATATGGTTGAAATTTGAGTAAAGACGTAGAAGCTATAATAAAGAAGATGATGATGGAAAGAATTTAGTAAGTAAAAGTTTTGGTGTGGGGAGACCCCTCTCAAAATAGAACACGAAACCATTGGACAACACATAATAAATTAAAGTGATGTTGCTTGCCTTGAAAGGACATCCTGTAAATACTAAATGGAATTTTGGCTTTCTTACTCCAACTACCTATGCAACCAATCAAATTACACCCTCTGTCTTTTTCACCAAAAACTTATTATTATATGTTATATACTCTTCTTTCAAATCTATCTTTCAAATTTTTCCTGGTCCGCACCCATTTCCACGCTCTTATATTAAATCTTTTGTTTCTCTTCAACCGACTTTTTTTGGGTTGTAAGAGCCTAGTTCAAGCTCACCACTAGTAGATATTGTCTTCTTTGATGTCACACTGCTCGGTGTCTGGCTTTGATACCATTTGTAAGAGCCTAGCCCAACCTTACTGTTAGTAGATATTGTCCTCTTTCAGATTTCCCTCTCAAAATTCCTTTCAAGATTGCGGGTCTACTAGGGAGAAATTTTCACACCCATACAAGGAATGTTTCGTTCCCTCTTCAATTGATGTGAGATCTCACAATAGGAGCCCAACATTCTCACTAACATTTTGTCTAGTATCTGACCTTGATAGCATTTCTCTATTTTTTGAAATATTTTGTAAACTAGATTTTTATATGATATAAATAAAAAAAACGTCAATTCAACTTTTGTAATTGATTGTCTAAATATTTAAAATAAATAAATAAAAGTCTCTCATAATTTATTGATATTCTTGCTGTATAAAAATATTGAATATGTTAAACAAAAAATTTTAGGATGTAATTATTTATAATTATTATTAATATTATTACTTACTTGTTAAATTTATTTATTCCATTAATGAACTTTAATATAATAAAAATGTAATTTTTTTGAAGGCATTTAATTAATATTTTATTGGAGAAACAATTAAAAGAAAGGGGTCCAAGTTGTTGTATGTGTCTATAAATACATGGTCCACCAATGAAAAGAAACCATTTCACAATATTTGATCGCTACAAATTAAGTGAGATGAAGCTGTTTGGTTTTTCAGTGACGGCTAGTGATCAAGCCACCATGGGTGCGCCATGCGCGAACCTCAACAAGGACGATAAGCGATTCGAGTGCCAATTCTGTGGCCGTGAGTTCGCCAATTCTCAGGCTCTCGGCGGCCACCAGAACGCCCACAAGCGCGAGCGCCAGCTCGCCAAACAACTCCGTTTCGATCCCAATAAACATCCTCGTTTTTTCACTTCCACGCCGCCGCCCTCCGCCACCGTCATCTGGTCCAGATCTGGTGGTGCTCCGCCGTCTGCTGCTGGTGGTGGTGGTGAAGTGAATGGGGAAAATGGCGTTGATCTCCACCTCAGTCTCGCGCCATCCTCAAGGATCTTCTGTTAAGTTGAGAAATGTTTTCCTTTTCTTTTTTTTTAAAATATATTTGAGCAATTCTCTTCGTTGAAGAATTGTGTCCAATCGAAAAATGGGAGGGAGAAAGTGTTTGGTTCAAGGAATACAAAATTTCTCACCACTTACCCGTCCATCATCTAGGCCGGATACACGTAACAAGTCAAAACAAACAATATCTAAAAGACACGTTTTAAAACCGTGAAACTGACGATAATATATAATGGGTCAAAACAGACAATATCTACTAGCAGTTAGCTTGAGCTATATATGAGTCAAACACCACAGTGTGGGAGCCGTAGATTCTAAGATGTTAAATTCATAAAGTTGATGGCTATATGTAAAAGGTCAAACTACTGACATGAGCATTCTTAAGAGGGTGTGGAAACCTCTCTCTAATAAACATGTTTTAAAATCGGGTCTCAAAACATGAGTTCATAAGTTCGCGTTCTCTACAAGCCTACCCTAATAAAATTGGGAACAAAAATTCTAGTTTTTCTAAAGCAATGGCGATAGTATTTTCTTAGGTTTTTTTTAAAGCGCAATATGCTATGGTGTTTCTACTTGGAGTTTTTTTCTTTTAAGAAAATAAAATATAAATATAAATATTTGTTGTCATAATGTAAATGTTGGTACTGTTCAGATAGTGCGCTTGAAAACACTATTCATGAGCAGTCATTCAACATCCATAAGTGAAGGGCCCTGTCCATCACTTCCTACGTTTTTTCCCGTTAAAATAATATCTTCATTTTTTAATTCAATATTTAAATTTAAAATTATAATAAGATCAAAATTAACCAAACTATAATAACAAAGATGTGACAAATAAAACATATCATAAAATGACATTTGAATGCATTTTACCCCCACAGTTAATCTTGTATTTAAGGTAAGTAAAAGTTAATCTCAAATTGGAAGGTCATTATTTTAAAAGAAAGTTGTTGGGCTTAAGCCCAAAATGAATATACATATAAGGATATTTTTAGGTACTGAATTAAGGTTTTATTAGTTAAAACTTGGCCCTATAATTTCTGTGATTTTATTATGACCAAATCGTTAAGAGTGCCCAAAATATTAGCCGAACTTTGAGGGTTTCCCTTATCAAAAAACCAATTTGATTTTCCTTCTCTCGCGAGCTTCCAATGGCAGCCAGAGGGAACAGAGAGAGAGGAGGTCAGTTAAAATCACCGTGTCGGTCGGATACGTATATAGACACTGAGAATCAACAGCAGTTTCCGGCCGCCCAGACGGCGGCGGGGAATAGACACAGCCATTTACACGGTGGTTCGACGTTTTCCAAAGGCGGCTCCGATGAATCGGAGGTGAAAAGGCAAAAAAGGATAGCGAAGTACAAGGCTTACGCTGTAGAAAGCAAATTCAAGGCGTCGATTAGGAGTGGGATTGGGTGGGTAAAAATCAAGTGTGGTGACCTTCTTGGTCGTTGATATTTCATCAATTTATTTCAAAATTTATTTACTTTGTTTCCTTCTGAATTTCTTAATTCTCGTGTAAATTAGTTTAAAAAAAATTTAATTTAGTCCCTAATTAATTTAGGTTAACAATTTAAAACTTTCAACTTTAGTGACTTAAATATCAAACTGTTTTCTAATAAAGTCGTAAATATTTATATTATAATATGGTCAAAACAAATCCGTGACCCATTGTGTAGAGAAGCCTCCAAGTTATTTAAATGCAAAAATCTGAGGCTAAGAAGGAGGATCTAAACACGACCTTAGCAACAGATAGAACTTTAGCCTCTATTATTGTCTGCATATACTCTTCATTTATTTACAAAATTAATTCCTATTATTGTCTGCATATACTCTTCATTTATTTACAAAATTAATTCCAATAATGCCATCCAAGCTTTGTCTTACTCATAAGCATTAATCATTCTTTTTATTTTAAAATAACACACTTATCGATTAAATACTAATTTAGCTGACCAACATTAGTTTATATCTGTTGGATGATGAAAGTCTCATGTCGGTTGATTTAGGGAATGATCAATGGTTTATAATCAAAGAATACTTTCTCTATTGGTATGAGGTCTTTTGGGAAGCCCAAAACAGAACCATGAGAGCTTATTTCTCTATTGGTATGAGGTCTTTTGGAAAGCCCAAAACAAAACCATGAAAGCTTATGCTCAAAGTGGACAATATCATACCATTGTAGAGAGTCTGTCAATAGATTGGTAAATCCTTAAATGTCGGATAAATGACTCCAAAAGAAAAAGAAGTCAAGCCTCTTCGAAGCGAAGACAGTCAGCAATGACTAAGACTCCAAAGGAGTCGAGCCTCAATTAAGGGGAGACGTACTTTGTTTAAGGGGAGGTGTTGGATGATGAAAGTCCAACATCGGCTAATGTAGAGAATGATCATGAGTTTAGAATCAAAGAATACTCTCTCCATTGGTATGAGCCATTTTGGGGAAGCCCAAGCCACGAGAATCGGCTAATTTAGAGAATGATCATCATGAATTTATAATCAAAGAATACTCTCTCCATTGTTACAAAGCCTTTTGGGAAGCCCAAACCATGAGAGCTTATACTCGAAGTGAACAATATATGGAGAGTCGTGTTGATCTAACAATATCAATTAAATATTAATTGAAAAGATAAAACATAAAAAATATAAATAAAAAAGCCCATAAATATAAGTTTCTATATTGCGAAAAATATTTGGCCTGATATTGTTTTCAATGAAAACTGACGTTTGGCCTTACGGATGATTTTTGTTATTTGATAACGGCTTACCTACTAAAAGATTAGTTGGTATAAAGAATAGATGGACCAACAAAAATGTTAATTACTTATTTATTTTTTTAAATGTAATAATTTTTAATTAGAAAATTTAAATGAATTTGTGGGGTCAGGAATCTCAATATTGATCTTTTTTCCTTTTTCAATTTTTTAAAGCAATTTTTGTTATTAGTTTATTAATTATATTATTTAATATAATAACTTAAATTAATTAAGTTTGGCTTTATGTTACAATTAATCATTATTTAGAAAGTGAAATCTAAGATTTTATATGAATTTTTCTTTTTGAATTTATTTGTACAATAATATCGATTTACTTTCGCATTTTGCGATGCCGAGCAAAAGTAAAGGATGCCAAAAGCAGAGAAAAGTGTTTGTTTTCACTCTGAGGCACGAAAATTTGTGTGCTTTCTAGTTCTTCATGTGACACGTAGCTATTTCGGGGTTGGGCTTAGGCATTAAAGTATTCACGAACTGCCACGTCACTAATCGTAGCGATCGTTATCCGGTTGAGGGCGGTGATTTTATCATTGCCATTGATCACCAATGAATGGATTCCAGCGTTTTGAATTTGAAATCTGTAATCTCTCTCTCTACGGTCTAAACAGACGTTACAAAGCTCTTTCGATTCTTTAAAAATAAATAAATAAATAAAAACTTTTGAATTTATATTTTTTTTAAAAAAATAAATTTAGTTTTTGAAATTCCTTCAAGAAAAAAAAAAAAAAAACAAATAACAACGTTCTCATTTTATCCAACTCATTACTTCGCAGACCCACTTCCTCTGTGAGTCTGTAGTAACAATTAAGAGAGCCATAGCCAATTCTCTCTCTCTCTCTCTCTCTCTCTCCATCTCTCGCTCTCGAGACTGTGGCCGATTAGTCTCCATTTTATCCTTTTACGAAATCGAAATCTCTGTGATCGTAATCGATTGAGGTGCATTTCTAGGAGAAAGAAAACGATACAGCTTGAAGAAGAGCGCAACGGTTTACTGATTTCACGATTTCTTTCTAAGGTTTGGTCCTGAAATCTTCTTGTTTAATTTTTGGACTGTAGATTCTCATTGTTTGATTTATGCAATTCTGCTCTATTTTGGAGCAAGTCTGTGAACAAAATTAAGAAACTAGAAGGTTTAGTCGATTGATTCACTTGTTCATTGTTTACCTTGACTTTGTTGAATCGATGTTAGCTTCCTGTTTGTTGTCTGCGTTCCTTCTTTTGTATTGTTTACCTTGACTTTGTTGAATCGATGTTAGCTTCCTGTTTGTTGTCTGCGTTCCTTCTTTTGTATTTAAACTGTTTGGATTGTTGAATCGATGTTAGCTTCCTGTTTGTTGTCTGCGTTCCTTCTTTTGTATTTAAACTGTTTGGACTGTAGATTCTCATTGTTTGATATATGTAATTCTGCTCTATTTTGGTGCAAGTTTGTGAACAAAATTAAGAAACTAGAAGGTTTAGTCGATTGATTCACTTGTTCGTTGTTTACCTTGACTTTGTTGAATCGATGTTAGCTTCCTGTTTGTTGTCTGCGTTCCTTCTTTTGTATTTAAACTGTTTGGACTGTAGATTCTCATTGTTTGATATATGTAATTCTGCTCTATTTTGGTGCAAGTTTGTGAACAAAATTAAGAAACTAGAAGGTTTAGTCGATTGATTCACTTGTTCATTGTTTACCTTGACTTTGTTGAATCGATGTTAGCTTCCTGTTTGTTGTCTGCGTTCCTTCTTTTGTATTTAAACTGTTTGGACTGTAGATTCTCATTGTTTGATATATGTAATTCTGCTCTATTTTGGTGCAAGTTTGTGAACAAAATTAAGAAACTAGAAGGTTTAGTCGATTGATTCACTTGTTCGTTGTTTACCTTGACTTTGTTGAATCGATGTTAGCTTCCTGTTTGTTGTCTGCGTTCCTTCTTTTGTATTTAAACTGTTTGGACTGTAGATTCTCATTGTTTGATATATGTAATTCTGCTCTATTTTGGTGCAAGTTTGTGAATAAAATTAAGAAACTAGAAGGTTTAGTCGATTGATTCACTTGTTCGTTGTTTACCTTGACTTTGTTGAATCGATGTTAACTTCCTGTTTGTTGTCTGCGTTCCTTCTTTTGTATTTAAACTGTTTGCACTGTTTAGTTTCTTTGCAAGTTGTAGGTATAGGAAGTTTAAAATGATCGATCGATGTCAGTTCCATCAAATTGGATTGAGAATCTGAGAGTTTGTGGTTGAGATGAGATGTTATCATTGCGTGTACATCGACGAATGCAATAGACAACAAGCATTTCTAGGAGAAAGAAGGAGATAGCAGCCAGAAGATGAGCGCAATGCTTAGATGATCTTCCTCTTTATTTTAGGTTTTCGCCTC